CACACACACACACACACACACACACACACACACACACACACACACACAGAGACGCACACACACGCACACCCATATACAATTATAAACTAACACACACACACACACACACACACACACACATTACACACACACACAAAATATATATACACATACATAGACACAAAGATACCAACACACACACACACACACGCACCTACACACACACACACACACACACATATATACACACATACATACACAATAAAACACACAACACCCATAGAAACAATTACCCACACACACAAGCAAGAATGGACCCGCACCCCCAACCATTACCACCCACCGAACACTACACACGCATGAATAACAGTACAACCCACATACAGGCAAAAAACTGGCCTACACGACTCATAAATCGGATCCCCTACCCACCAACCCCAAAACCACTCCCTACCAGACTGACGCCCCACCCACCTACCCCAGACTCACTCCCCTAAACAAAAAATTAATACTAAACCAAACTAGGCCCCCACACACTGACCCTAGGTCCACCCCCCCAAACACACACAAAACACCATCCCCCGCACCCACCAATGACTGACAAAAAACCCACACACTCAAGCAAGAACGGACCCGCACCCCCAACCATTACCACCTACCAAACACTACACCCCTATGAATAAAAACGCAACCCACATACAGGCAAAAAACTGGCCCACACGACTCATAAATCGGATCGCCTACCCACCAACCCCAAAACCACTTCCTACCCACAACAAAATAAATAGACTTACGCCCCACCCACCAGCCCCAGACTCACTCCCCCAACCAAAAATAATAAATCAAACTAGGCCCCCACACACTGACCCTAGGTCCACCCTCCCAAACATATACAAAAAAACACCAGCCCCCGCACCCACCAACGACTTACAAAAAAACCCTCCCACTAAACACACCCAATAATAATTGAAACCAAAAAAAAAAACCTCCCCTACAATGGGTAACCCACCAATTGAACCCACAACCTACCAACCCTACCTGCACCCCACCTGTACCCTGCATACCTCACCGGCCCCCCTTATATTCAAAAGCAACACCGAAAATGAACATGTACCAACTCAGCAACCCACCCAAACTCGTAAAAAAAAAAGTGAAAACAAAAGTACACGCCACGAATTCCCCGCCAAAACTACACTACACACAACCCGACCCTGCCCAGGGAACATACACAACCGACACACAGCACCACACTCAAAACAAAAAAGAACATCGTCACCTGCTACAGAAGACGATACATGAGCGACAAAGCAACGCGCCATGCCCCACTCCCCCACCCTACTTACCTTCTGTCCTCAACACCCTGCCACTACCATGCCGCGCTAACGGACAACACGCCTGCTCCACCCTCTCCATACCCACCTCCTACCCCCGAGCACATACCCACATCTCCCAACCCTTGCCATAACCCAACCCCCCCCGCACCCCTGATTCCATCAACTCCCAACAGCGATATCACATACCCGTACACCACCCCCACATACCTGCGCACTCTACAACCCCCTTCACCCATGGATCCACAACCCCCCACCCGACTCCCTCTCCCCTCCCATACAAAGCACTATATTACCAATGGGTACGCATGGCAATCACCTCTGCGATGCCATACCCACAGTGGGCAAGCACTACGAGTGGTACTACTCTCAAGACGCACGCTACTCTCTCAATGCAGTGCTCTCGGCTCGGACTACCGACCACCATAGCCTGCCAAGTAGCAAAGGCGCCCCTTTTTCTTCTCTCTCTGTGAGCGACAGATATCCAAGCCCACTGAGGATATCCTGTGCTCCTCTGAGAAGCTGATCGGCAGACACAGGTCCTCTTCAACCTGGCACTGCGATCTTCAACTGGTGGTCTCATCTGCTGAGACATGGACAACGAACATGGCAGCCATGGATGAATTTCTTGCTGCAGCTGAAGCTGATGAGCATATGGTACGTTCTCTCCCGAACCTGCCCTCTGCCCCCTGTCCTACTACCACCTCCCCAGTCCTCTCTCACACACCACCCTGGGAGCCAGAGGACCTCCACCCTCTGATGAGCCGTGACCGGCGCAAGCGGCGAAAAGCGCTTTGGGGATGCGCCACCCCTCCTCCACTGGCTATACTGCCAGTGTTTGATGGTTGTATCCATCATTGCTCCCTCGTCTCCCTCTCTCTCTCTCTCCCCCCCTCTATCTCCCTCTGGTCTATCACAGCTGTCTAACCATTGCGTGCAAGGAGCGTGATGCCGGCTATGTCATCAAGTGCAAGTGAGACACATGGATGGTGCAGAGAGGTAAGTCGAATGATGTGGAGATCCCCGTAATTCGGGTTGCTATGGCTGCTAATGCACTTCGAACACACACACACACACACACACACACACACACACACACATGCACACACTCACACACACACACATGCACACACTCACGCACACACACACGCACACACTCACACACACACATGCACACACTCACACACACACATGC